TGTAATTTGTTGTAAGTTCATGCACTGTGTTGGTTTTGTTCTTTGAGCAAGGTGATGTTCATGCATGGCTCATTTTATACACCATTAAAAAAACATATACCTTTGTCTTGAATTTGGAAAAAAAATCATATTTTATTTATCAATAAAAGGGGTTCAGTGACTGCGCATACGAAACATGTGGATTCGGTACCTCAAAAAAGGTTGAGAACCACTGCTTTAGATCATTTTGAGTCACTATCAGAAGCTGCGTTTCCATTGCAAATGTGTGCAAAACTTTGTCGATATTCTGTTAATGTCGAAAACAAAAAGTTTTGCAATTGCAGTGTTTCCATTAAATAAGAAATGCTATTAAAGTCACGCGTGTGTACGCTTGTTCTCGCGATAATTCATGCAAACATGGCGGCAATGGATGTAAACACATAGCATGTTGCTACCATGACACTAGTGCTCAGCCATCAGAGGAGACGTCGGCGTCTGATCGAGGATTTCGAGTGACAAGCCCCTTATACGTGGGAGCGGCTACGTATGCAGCGTTTTTGGGAAAACGTGGTCGGTGAGTTTAATACTTTCTTTTACTACTTCAGTGATTTCACTACTACTTTTACTTCCTGTTATCTTCTTCTTCGTCGTCTTTTYGCCAGTAGAAACAGCCGGTTCTTGATCACGTGACTCCCGTGATGCGAAAAAAGTGTTTCTATTGTAGTTTTGCGAAATACATCAATGTCGATATGGCCGAAAAACCACCTCATCCTAGCGCAAAACTATTTTGTTGAAAAACTTTTTTTTAAATTGACGTGTTTACATTGAGCAAATTTATTTTCAAAATTCTAATTTGCGCATTTTCATGGTCAATGGAAACGCAGCTAGAGAGATGGAGAYGTCAGAGAATATTGTTTTAATAARCAAAGATCAAAGAGTTCCYCTTTGATGTCACTTCTTGTTTCACATTGGCTGATCCGAGCGTACAAGAAAATATGCCAGTTATGTGGCAAATTGGGTAAAATCGTGTGTTTTAGGCCAAGTTTCTTGAATAAAAAGACATTTTCTTTGACTTTTCGCATTTGAAGGAAGTGCACATCGCAGGCACTTCAGCTGCTCATGATCTCTCCACAGAACTACACTTTAAAATATCTGAACTGCTGCTTTTAAGATGGGTGGCCTGGATTTGATGATCAAGAACATGTTTAGACGGATCACTGTTCCCTTTCAGTTGTGTTTTCAGACAAATTCGATTCCCTTGATCACCTGAAACAAACAATAAATGGCTTATGCTCTAACTGGGTCAAAACCTTAATAAATCATGTTAACTAAATAGCCGTCACCACTCCTCTTTGAGGATTTAGACACGGTGGATTTGTGTCATTCTTTGTGCACAATGCCTATTTGCATATGACTAATGTGAACACAACAGAGGACAAGAGAATCACGCAGCCCTCCTGTCATCGTGATCCTGGTTTTAAACTGCTGTGCGTTGGGTTTAAGTGTGTGCATGTGTGTGCTGTGTTCGGATGAAAAGAACAAAGAATCCTGGTCTGAGCCACAGAGTGTGTCGTGTCAGTATGAAACACTTCTGCCATTCTCAGGTCCCCCTGCTTGTTTTTTTTTTTTTTCCTTTTCGATGCAGCACTGAGGTGGAGTGAGAGCAGGCTGAGAGCAGCGAGGGGTCTCATTTGATTTGGCCGATCCCGCTGGGAGACACCGAATAGAAGCCATTCCTCCCTCCCCCTCTACAGCCGAGTTGTGCCACTCTCTCCAGCGGAGAGTCGTTCATTCTCTCCACCTTCACCTCCATTGCAGTCCCATTCTGTGCAGTGTAATTGCACGCAGAACAAAGAAAGCAAAGATCCAGGCMGACTTTGGTGATAAGCTCCCCGGGATCAGAGGGCTTTATCCGGGGAGCAGCTGGGAAGAAGCCGAGGCAAAGGTCATGTTGTAGGAGGATAGCCAAGGGAGCTGGCTGRGATTTAGATTGGTGGGCACTCTTCCCAGCGTTCCCCCCAGTGCTCCRCTGCTAATAAATCTCCCACCCAGTGCTGATCAATGTCCCACAAGCCAAGGTGRTGGTTTCTAATGATTTGGTTCGACCATGAACAGAAACACAGCAGCACAAAAGCAGGACTTTCAAGGAGATGATTCTTCTTCCAGTTTTTTGTTTGAGGCAGAAACAACATTATATTCAAGCTGCAAGTTAGTCAGGTTGCACCAGAACTACTACAGCTGTTTGTTATTGTTATTTGTATTTGTAAAACAATTACACAAAACTATTTTAAAATGTCACGGTGGCTCATTTGGTAGAGCTGTTGCCTCTCAGCAGGGAGGTTGCTGGATCAAATCCTGCCTGGGGACTGGTCAGGGTTTAAATGATCTCTCAGTGCATGCACAGGTTCTCTACTCCAGTTTCCTACCACAGACTAAACACATTCATGTTGGTAACTCTAAAACAGGAGAGTCAAACTCATTTTCTCTGAGGGCCACATCAGCTTTATGGTGGCCCTCGAAGGACCAGTTGTAGTTAACTATAATGTTTTGTGTTCAAACTTTACACACGAAATGCCACATTCCTCGTCTCATTGCTACAGCTCACTAACAAGCAATAACTGAGCTCTACGTGGTGTTTTCTGCATAGAAACAGTGTTTTAAAACAACTTCTTATAAACGCTGAAAAGTACCAAATGTGACTGACTAAATGTAAAATAAATAATACATAAATACTTTAAAAAGTAAAAGTAAGAGAGTTTTTCTTACTGTTGAGTTGTGGTGAGTTGCTGCCATCTTGGATTCTGAACTCTCCCACTGTCCCACAGGAAATTCCCACTGGAGGTGGTGTTCCAGTTTAAATTTGCAACTTGCATGTGGGAAATTCCCAATTCCCAGTAAATTTGGGATGCATCAAAAGTAGCCGGAGAAAATGCAAAATGTGAAATGGGGATTTTACACCGCTGCCGGCTACTTTTGAACCCTGTGCACCTTCACCTAGTGGTAGGATGTTGTCATTTTACAGGTGGAATAATCAACCTGCATTATGGGAGATGTAGTTTATGGTCAATGCTGGCTTTAGAACAGCATACACATTTTTAATGATATTATTAACATATCTTTGAAGCTCTCACGAGCCRCATAAAATGCCGTGGTGGACCACATTTGGCTTGCAGGCCACGRGTTTGACACATATGCTCTATGTCTCTATTTGTTAACGATTGTTTGTCTCTATGTGACTCTAAGGGAYTTTTGAACTGTCCAGGGTGTATCCCGCCCTTCACACAGTGACTGCTGGATAATGGGCACCAGARACCCCCATGACCCTGAAAGGAAGAAGTGGGTAAAGATGATGGAYGGACGACTGTGATTTTTTTTAKTCTGAAATTGTTTAATGATGCATTRATTGATTTTTGGCCTTGGCCTCASTTAAACAAAAATGAACTCAGTCTGAAATAAACTTTGTTTCTCCAAACTGAGCTCATTCAAAAAGCCAGCTGGTGAGATTTTAGTTGGTCCTAATCTTTGCACACAGTCAACTGTTGCTTTAAAGGTTCACCTTTTGCCTGAAGATCTATTGATCATATTGACTCTAGAGCTGTTTAAAAGATTTAACAAGTAAATCTTTTTAAATGATTTGAGTATTTTTTTAATTACCAACAATTTCAAGATGTTTGCATGTCCTTGTCACGCAATAACTGGATCTATTTGTCCCTCTTCAGCTCTTTCTCCACTTGTAATTAGTGGTTTTGTGAAAGAGAAAAGCTGAAGACCTGATTCAGTCTAACAAACCACCTTGACATAACAGATAGGTGGCAGGAGCGAACAAGCAATCATCTTCAAACTCTTCCCCCCTCTTCCTCACCCAAATCCCCCAAAACAGCAGCTGCTTTTACTCTCCAGCCCCTCTCTGATTGCAGTTCTCTGGGAGGGGGCCTGCCGGCATGCACACACCTGCTCACGCTGACCTCCAATCTATCTGTTCCACGCCTGCCATGTCTGCCACAACTGCTGGGATTAGCATGTCTGGGGGATCGGTGGATAGATGAGAAGGGAGGACAGCAGCCTTTAAGTCTGACACGTACGTCCGGTGCCTCACTTGTGGTGTTGAGAGTGTGTGCACAGCTGGCTAATTCCCTGCCTCGGCGCATGCAAACACTCTGGAGGTTTGTGTGTATTTTATCAAAGATGAGCGCTGTGTGTGTGTGTGTGTGTG